TCAGCTCGGACCTTAACCGCAATCGCATATGTAAATGAACGCGGTTTTTTTGGAAACGGCCGCTCGACAATACCTTACTTTTTAGTGACCTGGAAATTTGCATTTCAAAAAGGCAGGGAAATTTGATGGAGTACCTCAAACTTTTGATTTTGTGACCTGGAAATTTGCATTTCAAAAAGGCAGGGAAATTTGATGGAGTACCTCAAAGTTTTGATGCAAAAACGCATAATCGCACCGGCCCGCCTGGTGCGTTCCAGCCTGGGTTTTAGCTGGAAGCATCTGCTGGAAAAACATTATCGTTAGCGATAAAAACCTGCTGGGAAACTGCGCAATAAACGTATCATCACACCGGTAATCGATGTGCTAGCGAATTATTTGAACTTGCAGTTTCATTACAACACATAGTGGGAGTGACAGTAGTGTAACTAAGAATCTTTTTTAACCTCTGGAGACATTTGAGCGATTTCTATTGTTATGACTGAGATCTGAAACATATGCTTATACAGCAAACAGTGCTTTCCTTTTCGCACTAGTTTCTCGGATAATTATTTGGGGCAGTCAAGTGCGTAAAAAGTAAGGGGGGAAAGTGCCTCAAAGTCGCAGCAGTTTAAGAAATGTCTGTTAGAGTTTGCATGAATAATGAAGATGGGGTTAACTCTAATGTTGGGAATTACTAAATTGCGTCGAAAGCTGACAAACTGTTTGAACAGCGCTAACTTTGAACATTTTACATCGAATAAAAAAGTTGTAAAAGGAATATCCTGATATTGGAAACATTGATTTAACACTTTGATGCAAACTACCATTTTGATTCTTTTTGATGTGACAATACTGAAACCATCCGGACAGATGGTGTGGCTATCCTGTGTCATTGATGTTACTAGGATGCGTCACATGCCGAGCGCAGCTATGCCAGACACTTCTGTTCTGGGCTGCTTACTTCCAGATGGCGATGGTAATATATTTTGTTAGAAGTAATGAAAGATAAGAATTGCTGCAGCTGTTTAGCAATTCAGTTTATTCTCGTCGCAATATGTGTATCATTGGCTGTGCCGGCTGGCATATTTGTTCCCTCATTTGTGATCGGTGCTTGCGGCGGACGAATCATTGGCGAAGTAATGGCTTCATTGTATCCGCAGGGCATCCGCGGTCCTGATGGACCACAAATTTTTCCTGGCCTTTATGCTGTTGTCGGTGCGTCATTCTTTTTTTTTTGCTTTACTCATCATTTTTACATCTATCGGATTCAGAAATAATTAAGATGTATAGTATTTGCAATTGACACTGCGCACATAATTGTTTCGGAGAGCTGTGTTATGGAAAACCTATCATAGCTATGTTTTCTTTTGATCAGCGTTTGCGATCAATAGTAAGTAGAAGAAATTTGGGCAGATCCTCATCTACATGATACTAAATGCGCCCAGATAAGCTGATTGTAGCGTCCAGGTTGACCTTGGGTGTCAAAGTAAGGAAGGCGTATAAGATAAAGAAAGAACAGAAAAGAAAATGGAAAGGAAGAAGGGATGAGGTAAGACGTTTCGGTCCATTAAGTTATATACGGCACGACTGGACCTCGTAAGTATGACGGTCGTGGTGTTCAGAGATGAAAAGGAAAAAGAAAGAGTGGGAGGAAGGAAGAAGAAAAGGAAGAAGAAGATAGGGAAGTGATTTTTATGCGTTTTTTGCACC